CTGAATTAAGCTCTACTTAGAGCATTTAAAAAAAAAACCGAAAATCTCTAAGGGAGAAAAAACTCTGTCATTTTTCTTTCTCACTAAATTCTTTAGTTTTCTGTGCTTGGGTTGGCTTCCTCTTACTGTTGGAAGAGTAGTCGGAGTTGAGAAGTGCTTTTAAAAGTTTCTGTATTACTTTCTTTTTGTTTCAAGGAGGTACCTTCTTCCCCCCTGTGCTATACTTTCTCCCCCTCTGTGCCTTGTCTTTCTTCGGTTTTCTCTCTGTTGAGCTCCTTAGCTTGGTGCAGTGGACGATACAACATGCTTGCGTGATATTATTTTTTTTTTTTTTAAATGCATGTTACTCAAGCATCTAGAAATGGAAATATGAGCATGTCTTAGGAATTAGACTTGATTACTTGCTTAAAATGATGGAAATATGGCGTGTTATCAGTTCTTCTCTTTTCTCTGCTTAAGGTGATGAAACTATGGCATATTTCTATTGGAAGCAAATTGGAAATATTAAAATGCAGCTTTGAGATAATGTTGACTCCTTTTTCAAGCATGTTGGGATATGTATTATGAAGTTTTTCATTCATTCTTTTCTAGCATGAGATATTGGAAGAGTTATTTGGCCTTTCATGCATAAGCAGGGCTTGATTTTGACATGTCACGGATTCTTTATGCTCAAAATTCACGCTAGGAAGAAGTTTATATTAATTTGAAAAAATTCTATAGTTGTTCTTATTTGAAGCATGTGGTGGCCCTATGTTTTGACATTTTGAAGGCATGAAGGTATTTTTTATAGCTTTCATTGTGGCCTGATTTTGAGCCTTAACTGCGGCTTGATTTTTAGCCCTTGCTGGTTTTCAGTTTGCTTGAGGATGGCTGGGTTTGGATTCATTGCCATAAACTGCACTTGTAGCTTATAAAATTTTGGTTTCTAGCCTCCATTGGGGCTCGGTTTTCACCTTGGAAGGGCATGAGATGTTGGTTCTGTTGAGGCTTGGCTTTTGGTTTTGGTTGAAACATTGCCCTAACTGTTTAAGCTTCACGTATGGGCTTTGAGGGGTTTGCTTTTGGCTTTGTTTGGGAGCTCTGTTTGCTTGCCTTAGCTCCTACCCGAGATCCCGTTTTTGGTGTTTATTCCTACCACTGCTCCATAGCTGTGGGAGGGTTTGGTTTTATTTGCTTTAACCCCTGTTAGGGACTCGGTTTTTGCATACTGTGAGTGTTTTTTGCTTAAATATACATATTATGGAGGAATTTATTTTGATTTGGAGGAGTTCTATAGCTATTCTTGTTTGAAACATATGGTAGTCCTATATTTTGATGTCTTGAGGGCATAGAGATGTTTTCTAGTCTTAGTTGTAGCCTAGGTTTGAACCTCAGCTGTGACTCTGGTTGGGAGCTCGGTTTTGCCTTGTCCTGTCCCTACCCGAGAAGTGGCTTGGGTTTTGATTTTTGTTGGCCTTAGCTCCTACCCGAAAGCCTGTTTTGGCGTACTGTGTTGTCCTTATTCGAGAACTGTTAGCTGGTTTTGATGGATTGGTTTGAAAATTTATAAGGCTGCAGTTTTGATATTTGTTTGGTTCCTAGCCGTGGGTTTGTGATGTGGTTGAGTTAGCCTCCCCCTTTGGTCCTACCCATGAGCTCAACATTGAGATTTGCTCCACTTGCAGTCCTTACCTGTGAGACCTATTGGAGGTTGTTTGGTGTGATTTAGACCTTGTTGGGCTTGAACTACTCAGATGATTGTAGGTGGATTGAAATTATGATTATATTTTGCACTCTTATGTATATCAAAGATCCTTATATAGCTAGTTTGGCTTGCCTTAACCGTGAGCTTCTTATGTCTTGGGTTGCCTTGGCTGTGAGCCTCTCTTGTTCTTTGGGCTTCCTTGACCGAAAACCTTGGTGGTTGTTTCCTCTTTTCTATTGACCCCGACCGTGAGCATTTATTTGGTTCTGTGAAGATTTTAGACTCATGTGATATATGAGGTTATTGGTTAATTCGGGAGTTGGGATATATTAATTTTGATATGGGTTTGGATACCGACGCTAGGAGGTCATTTGTATGTGATCGTCACATGACTTGGGTTAAGCCACTTATAAAAATGTGAGAAAGTGATATCCTTTCGGATTGATTCAAGTATCTTCGGGTCTTCCTTTTCAGGTCTTTTTCGTCATGATTTTTAAGAGCTGATTCATCCTCCGTTCTTTTCGATATTTTAGGTGGATCAGTCCCTCCTCTCTCTCACCCCATTTTTGTTCTTTTTTTTCCTTGCTTCTTAGTTCGATTTTTTATGTTTATGTCTGATACATAAGTTTCCACGTATAATCTTTTGCTATACATGAAACCACTGAAACCATGAAACAAGGTCGCAAGTAGGTCGGTTTTGTTTTGGGACTTAGGGCGGTGATAATAAAGGCACACCGGAGATAGAGCTGAATGATATGTCATCCTACGACATCGGGACTACGTCCTACGACATCGGGATCCGATTCAGGAACCCGGTGAGCTGTAGGATGACAATATTATTTACCGACACAAGACTAGCGAGAGTTGACCCGAACCTTCTTAGGTTGTTAGTAGTCTTATGCCCGACAGTGCGATCGAATCGTGGACAACTACTTTTCAAAATTGATAAAAACAAATTTGATAAGAACAAATACACATTTTCTAAAACAAAAATACATTTTTCGCTACAAACAAAATTGATACAGCCCAATTTTTGCATGTTTGAAACCTATGTGCATGCTGAAAATATAAATTTTAAATACATTTTAAACATCGGTTGTCCACCTGTTGATCACCTGTTGAGGCTAAGGAGTACCCTCCTGAGTTAGGTTCGATAGGACACCCTTCTAGTTGAGTGGCGAGCTTTATACATCCAGGTGACCGAGTAGCCTTTGACGACCCTCGAGTACTAATATATAGTTGAGTCTAGCCCTGACCCGAGTGCTTGTGGTCCCCCTCTTTTCGGACTTTTTCATATGTTTTTCTTGAAATTTTTCGACAAAACACTCGTGGTCTATTTTCGAGATTTTCCCGTGCTTTCTATTATTTTAATCCATTTGTCGATTGCCTCACATTTCTCTTGTCATGAGTCTTTTGACGATCTTTCTAGAGATTTCTGGACGATGTTTCTTTGTTTTCATTTATAAAAAACATTTCAGTATGTTTCCTCAAGTTTTGTTGTTTGAACCTGTTGCATCAATTACACCTAAGGAACATCGGATCTCCTAGGTATACAGGTTTGTTTTATGTTTACAGCATGTTATTCTTTTATAATCACTTCCCTGCTGTACCTTTTACTTTTCTTTATACCGCATGTTGTATTGTTTTCTTTAATGTCTGTCCTGTACTACATATTCTACTATTATGTTATACACTGTACAACTTCAAATACACTGTACAACTTCAACTGAAATGTTATCTATAAAAC